TCGAATAAATCGTAACGAAAATATGGAACAAGGAGAGGAAGACTCTGTGGATGAAATAAAGACAACAAAATCTGATGAACAGGTGAGTCAGATAAACGAGGGAACAAATAAAAAATGTAGAATTTCTAAAAAAAACTGAGATCAAGCAATGGATAGAGGGAGATTTGATACATAATAAAAAATTTAAAAACGAGAATAAATCTGAAAGTTATGAATTTTATGACATGAGTTTATTACAACTATTTGAACTATTTTTTGACAACGATATGTTTGAACATATTTTACAAGAAACAAAAAAATATGCTGCGTTCAAGAATTTTCCAGATCCAAATCTGTCCATTGATGAATTAAAATGTTTTTTCGGAATTTTAATTTTATCCGGCTACCATCCCTTACCGGGCAGAACATATTATTGGGATCAACAGGATGACATGGCAGTACACATGGTGAAAAATTCTATGCGCAGGAATAGATTTGATTAAATCATGAAATGTATTCATTTTGCCGATAACAGCAAAATTGGAAGGACTGATAAAATGTGAAAACTACGCCCCATTATAGAAAAGGTGCAAATGAAATGTCTTAAGTACTTTCAACCAACCCAGCACATGAATTATGATGAATCAATAATCAAGTATTTTGGGAAACATAGCTGTAAACAGTTTATCAAAGGTAAGCCAATACGCTTTGGCTATTAAAGCTTGGTGTTTGAATTCTGAAAACAGTTATTTGATTCATTTTCAGTTATATCAAGGTAAACAGATTTCAACTGATAACAGTTATGTAGAAAAATTTGGAAGTGCAACAGCTCCTTTACTTCAAATGCTTGACGATCTACCAAATAAGATACCAAATTACCATATTTATACCGATAATCTATTTATGAGTTTCAATTTGCTTGCAGAATTAAAACTAAGCGGATATGACTGTACTGGAACAATAAGACAAAATAGAGTTCCTAAGTGTTGCCCTTTGCCGGATAACAAAGTAATGGCTACTAAAACTAAAGGTTCTGTTGATATGTTATATCTAAAAATGACGGATTTATAGTGGTCAAGTGGATGGATAATGCTGTAGTTACGGCTGCATCAACTTGCTACGGTATCAATCCTCAAAGTTACATCAAGAGATACTCTAAGAAACTAAAGAAAATTATTAAAGTACAAAGGCCTTTGATTATTGCAAAATATAAAACATTAATGGGTGGCACGGATAGAATGAATAAAGATGTGGCACGATACAGAACTGGCATCAGAAGTAAAAAGTGGTATTGGCCTCTTTTTACTTGGCTAAAAAATGTAATTTAGGACTTTGCATTGAGTGTTTTGAAATTTTTAATACACAGTAGTAAATACATAATGTATATATAGGTAACCTCCCTGTGTGACCATATGGTCACAGCGTTTTTTTTATGTTTATAAAAAAAAAATTAATAAAAACATATTTTTACGTTTATTTAGTTTCATTCCATTGTCATCTGCAGTTATATTTATGAAAAAATATATTTATTGATATTCTGGTAGAAAATGGGTTAAGTAAAAAAAAGCTTTACGCGTTCCTAGGTCTTTGCGAAAACCAAATTGTATATCATTAACGTCTATGTCCAGTTTGTGATATATTGGGTTTAAAAAATAATTATAGAGACATAAATCTACTGAACACCGCACTTAAGCTTACCTTAAAAGTCCTGACCAAAAAACTCAATTAACTAACAACTTTATCAGATGAACAACAGGGATGTAGTTCCGGAAGATCCTGCGTAAAAAACCAGCACCATATATTTATGTCAAATTAGACTATATTGTGTTTTTAAAGTTTAGCATTTTATAATTATGTATAATATTGTTTCTGGAATACTGGAAGCCCTAAATCAAAGCCGAATAGATTACAGGTACACGACACTAATCAAAAACATCTATCAGAACGCTACATCAAGTATACGACTGCACGAAGACACAGAAAAATTCAGCTTAGGACGAGGAGTTAGACAAGGAGACAATATTTCACCAAAATTGTTCACGGCAGCTCTAAAGTCAATATTTAAGGGTACTCAATGGCAAGATATGGGCATCAATATAGATGGAGAAAGATTAAATCACCTAAGGTTTGCAGATGATGTTGTATTAATCGCAGATAACTTACATGATACAGTTACTATGATGCATTCGCTTAAAAGTCTGTCTGAAAGAGCAGGATTAAAGATAAACTTTGAGAAAACTAAAATTATAACAAATCTTGTAATGAGTGGAAATATAACTATTGACAATAATACCATACAACAAACAGACACTTACAAATATCTGGGACACGAAATCAAAATAAGCAGAGACAATCAAACACATGAAATACAGAGGCGAATAGGTCTAACATGGGCAGCATTTGGCAAATTAAGCCATATTCTAAAAAGTTCAATTCCCATGTGTCTCAAGCGAAAGGTTTATAACCAATGTGTTTTTACCTGTACAAACTTATGGAGCAGAGACTTTAACACTCACGCAAAAATCTGCGAATAAACTTAGAGTTACACAACGAGCCATGGAACGTGCAATGCTGAACGTGAGCCTTCGAGACCACATAACAAACCAACAAATCAGACGAAGATCAGGAGTTCAAGACGTCATCGAAAGAACCACGGCGCTTAAGTGGAACTGGGCAGGGCACTTAGCCAGAACACAAGATGGACGGTGGACAAGACGTATTATGGAATGGAGGCCCAGAAATTATAAAAGAAGCCGAGGACGACCACCGACTAGATGGACCGATGACATTAAACGTGTAGCGGGAAACTGGCTACAAGCGGCCCAGTGTAGAGAACACTGGAAAGAATTGAGGGAGGCCTATGTCCAGCAGTGGACGCGATTGGCTGATTGATGATGATGATGATAATATTGTTTCTAATATTAATATGGCTACCCAACTATTACTCAATATATAAGTATTTTTACGAATATAAGGCCATAAAACTAATAATAACATACACTGCGTTTCAAAATTAACGCATAATTTTAAAGTTAACGCATAATTTAGAGTTGTAATGTATGAAAAAAATTTTGTTTTTTCTTTTCTGCTTTATGGTTGTTTTAGAACATCTTAAATAACAAACTCTATTTTACAAAAAAAATGTTGAAATTAAATATAACATCATAAATCTAAACATCTAAATAAACTACTATTCTAAACAAATTAACATTATAAATTAATGACGAAATTAAAATTTTTAAAGTTGAAGAAAATATTAGTAAGTATACTAGTATCGAGTATTGCCTTCTCTGGCATTTATTACTGCTTGACAACGATCTCTCATACTGAGAATAATCGTTCTGATTTCTTCTTGATCAATTTGATCCCAAATTTCAACAAACCGAAAAATAGTTTATCTAATGTGTTTGGTGCATTAGATAGTTGTCGTAATCATCTAGCTATGATGTCCCAAACATGTTCTATTGGGTTGAGGTCAGGACATCTTGCAGGCCAATCCATGGCAGGAATTCCAGCCTCCTAATACTGCTGTACAATTCTTGCCGTGTTGGCCTGGCATTATCTTGCATAAGCATGAAATTATCCTCAATAAATGGTGCAAATGGCACGACATGCTCTTCTAAAATGTCTATTATATACCTCTGCGATATAAGCCAACCGTTGTCTATTCTAACTAATTCCGTACGAGCCTCTAAATGAATCCCACCCCACACCATTACTGAGCCGCCGCCATACTGTACAGTCCCTACGGTATTACACTGTGCGTAGAGTTCCCCAGGCCTTCTATATATTCGGTTTCTTCTGTCATCAGAAAAAAGACAGTACCTGGATTCATCGGTGAACAATATTCTTTCCCATTCGTCATTATTCCACTCGACATGTTCACGAGCAAAATGCAATATTTCCCTTCTATGGTTTTTGGTCAACAATGGGCCAATTGTTACCAGTACAAAGTACAAAGTTACCAGTCTCTACAAAAATCATTTTGTAGAGAAGTACTGGTAACAAACCTTTGTCTCAGTGCACGAAGTGTCAAAAACCGGTCTTGATTAAGAGTTGTAACCCTTCTACGGCATTAAAGGTCGATTCAGACACATCAGTCCCGTCACAGTCTCGGCGCCGAACCGGTCCTGTTTGGTCACAGAACTATCAACTATCTGACAGCTGGAAAACTGTTCGTCGCCTGATGAATGTGAATGCCGGCGCCATATTTCTAATAAAGAATATTTAGTATGACAGATTGTTCGGTTCGGCGCCAGGACTGTGACGAGACGTAACTGATGTGTCTGAATCGACCTTAATCGGGTCTTCTTGAGCTACTTCCAGTAACAGAAAAAACGTGTTAACACCCTTGAAATGGTTTATTGTGTGACGTTAAAACGTTCAGCGAGTTCTACTTGAGTGTATCCTTTTTCGCGAAGAGCAACGAATCTAAAACAGTAACTTTCTGACAAATTTCGATTTTCTTGCTGCTGGTGGTTAATTTCAAAGAAAAAACACATAATAAACTTAAAAAAAAACCCTTTTAAACGTTCAGCATAACGTAATCCAACGTAAATTCGAACTAAAATGAAACACAATTAGCATGTTTTTAACTTTTTTGCAAAAAATGGTAAAAATATCAGCGTTTTTTACCGATATTTCGGTATATTTTACAATAAACCGTGGGTAACAATAATATATTAGCACAAACATTGAAACATTAAAATTATTTGATTTACCAAGGTTTATAAAATAATGCGTTAATTTTGGGGTGCAGTGTATTTTAGTTGTCTTGAAAGAGAAACTAAACAGTTACGAAAGCTTGATTTTCAATAAAAATTCAACATTAAATTTATATATTAGTGCTTTATCACTAGGCCTTTTAACCGCAGCCTCACAAATCTTTGGAAGTTGAGCCGATGACTTGCGATTTCTAGTCTCCATTCCGCTCTGTTTTTCGTTTTACCACTATCATCTTTCATGCCACTGTCTCTTATCTCTTTTTCCAATGTATAATATAAAATTTTACGACGGTAAATGTGGTGAAATTATTTATTTGATTTATAAAAAGAAAATGTAAAAACATATTTATTTATGTAAACATATTTATTTCATATCTTAAAAAGCTAAGCACGTAATATACCATTAACATTTAAAGTAGGAATTGTATCAATCGTTTCTCTTAATTCATTAACATCACAGCAATAAATATAACCTTTAGAGAAATCACTATAATATTTTGATCCCCAACCATATTTTTCACAAATATCTGAACACAACTGTTCATCCTCTGTGATTTCTTCGACAAATGGGTTTGTTTAAACTAACAAAGGCAATTCCTTTTCCAGAATCTTCGTCGAGCATGATTTTCCAGACGAATTTGGGTACTGGTAGTTTGCGTCTTGAAACTAGATACATTTCGGTTGGATTGTCATTTACATCAGGAAGGTCCAGTACATCGTGAGTGCCAGTTACTATTAAAAAGGTACTTTGGTATTTGTCAGCTACTCTCCTTACAGCTGACTCTAACCTGACCCAGTTACCTCCATTAATGCTTTGCCTGAAAAATATATTATTATAAAATTATAAAATCACTAACACTGAAAAATACATATATTCTTTGTGTTGTAAACAAAATATTGTATGATAAAAAATACTTTTTCTCAAGATATTTTTACTATTATTAGCTGAAGATGTTAGATTTGTCTCTACTGCCAGTAATATTGACAAATTTTGACTGCTATTTACCGTATTTGTTGAAATATTTTTGGCAGTTTCCTGTCTTGATTATACTGCCACGAATATTATTTTTTTTTTCAGGTTGTAGCTTACCTTTTGTTTTGTATTGCAGTATGAGTTTTAGTATTAAATATAGAAAACCTCTTAACAATGGACCTAAAGTATAATCTTTATTGGTTTTACGGCATGTAAAAGTAGTCTCTGTGCTCTGGTTGATGAATTCCGCCATGGTTACCATAGCAGACGAAGTTTTAAAATCCGAAAAAAACCAGTAAAGAAAAGGAATTGGATGACCGATAACATACTAGACCCTATTCAGCAAAGAAGAAATTGTAAAAATAAAGATGGTACTCGTTATAGAGAAATATATCGACAAATAAGATATGAGTTTAAAAGAGCAAAAGAGGCCTGGGTATACCAGAGATGTCGTGAGATGGAAGAACTACAAAAGAAACATAACGAGTTTAATATACACAAAAAAATTAAAGAAATTACCTACACTCAGAGAAAAAGAACTCCTCAATTTATGAGAAGCTCCAAAGGTAAAATTGTTCTCGACTTAAACGAAAAAAAGGAAGAATGGACCAACTACATAAAGGAGCTCTTCCTGGATATGAGGCCACCACTTAACGCCACAAAGTATACGAATACTGGTCCTAGTATATTAAAAGCAAAAGTAGAGAAAGGCCCGGACCAAATACCGTCAGACTGGTTCAAACTTCTAGACGACGACAATGTCTTAGAACTACCAAACATTTATAACCGCATATACGAAACTGGAACACTGCCACAAATATCGTTGGAGTCTACATTCATCCCACTTCCAAAAAACCTAATACATCATCATATAAAGACTTTCGACTAATTAGCCTCATGAGTGACTCTCTCAAGCAACTTTTTAGTATAATTCTTAATACAATTAAGCAGATATGTGAAGACATAATGGGAAATAAACAATTCGGTTTCAGAGGGGAATTGGAACAAGGGAAGCTTTGTTCTCAATGCTAACACTACTAAAACGATCGTGGGAAGTACAGAAACCAATTTACGTCTGTTTTATAGATTTTGAGAAGACGTTTGATAGGGTTCAACATGGCAAGCTGATTGAATATCTAGAAATAATTGGAATAGATGATAAAAATCTGAGACTTTTACATCTATGTTGGAATCAAGAAGCTTCTATTCTGGTAGACGGCAAAGAAACAGACAAAATTTGTATTTAAAGAGATGTTAGACAGGGTTGTGTGTTGTCCCCAACTTTGTTTAACGTTTACTCAGAAATAATTTTTCACAAAGCCTTCGAAGGGGCATTTCAACCTTATTTTATACTCGAGTTAGCCTTCATATTTACACTTATTCTTCCGTTTATTGAAGTACTAAGAATAATGAACACCCGTCTTTATCTGGTCAATACTATCAAAATTAGAAATATGTCATATCAAGGACACATAATGCGCCATAGAGAATTTGAGCAGCTCTAAGTAATATTAGAAGGCAAAATTAAAGGTAAAAGGGGCATAGGACGAAAGAAAAGATATAAAACACCAGAGATTGAACCCACACAAGAGGAAATGAAGTGGAATAAGCCTAGAACAGAGAGAAATTTGCCATATTGATCGCCAACCTCAACAGAGAAGGCACTTGGGAGGAGGAAAACTGTTTTATTTTTCACGTACAAGTTAGCAATTACATACTGTATTCATGTAATTGTCATTGGTAACATGACATATAGATCATTATATATATATATATATATATATATATATAACACTGTTTTTGATGGGTTGGAGTCAATAAAAGGGGCTATTTGTTGACTATTTTTTACTCGAGCTTTCAATTGTGATTACAATTTTTTTCAAGAGCTTCTAAAAAATACAAAATGTCTTACAAAGTTGAACTAGAAATAAAAAATTTTTTGTTAACTCACCAAATAAAATTAGTTTTTTATATAAAACTACTGCTTACATAATAAATACAAAAAATATTAATAAAAAAATGTCTTATTCTAATAAATGTTTCTCTGAAAAATTTAGATGAAGTTTCTTAAGAAAAAAAAATTGAATTTATAAACAAAAATAGAATAGCTACAACCAGCCTAAATGTCATAAATACTAACTTAAAAATTTTTATTTTTGACATATTGTCAAAAATAAAATTTTGTTTAAAAAATTCTTCTTTGATTAGTAACAAAAAAGAAGAAGATTTATTCACCATTGATAGATGCCCGAAAAAATGTAACAAATACATGGAAAATTCAAAATGTGATATTTTACTGACTGCATAAATTAAATAGAAATTATATAATTATAAATTTTGCTTAAATTTTGAATTTCTGACCTTTTGTTTAAATTATTATTACTTTTGCTAATACAAACCATTTCCAAAAAAGTTCTTTTAAATTATTTATTACTTTCATTACATAAAATTTTAATATTATCAAAATCCATAATATGGTCTTTGTCTATTACATGCTCTGCCAAAGCACAAGATGGTTTCTTAATTCTACAATCACTCTTGTGAGAAATAATGCGATTTGAGAGATTTCTTCCAGTCTCACCAATATACTCAGCTTCACACTGAGTACAAACAATGCTGTATACTACATTTGTTTGATCTAATTTGTCTATAGGATATTTAGTTTTGGAATATAAAGATGAAATAGTTTTGATGTTCTTTGTTGCTGTTTTTATATTGTCAATAACCTTTAATGTTTGTATTAATTTAGGAGTTAATGATGGTATAAAAGGTAGTGAATGATAATATATGTTTTGATTGTTGGATACAGTGTTTTGAGATTTAGCAAAAAATGGTGTTAAGTTATTTATATTTAATAAATTAGAAAAAAGCATCCTATGTAGCATATCAGGAGGATAAGAGTTTTCAATTAAAATAAATAATATATAATAAATAATGAGACTGGAAGAAATCTCTCAAATCGCATTATTTCTCACAAGAGTGATTGTAGAATTAAGAAACCATCTTGTGCTTTGGCAGAGCATGTAATAGACAAAGACCATATTATGGATTTTGATAATCTTAAAATTTTATGTAATAAAAGTAATAAATTTAAAAGAACTTTTTTGGAAATGGTTTGTATTAGCAAAAGTAATAATAATTTAAACAAAAGGTCAGAAATTCAAAATTTAAGCAAAATTTATAATTATATAATTTCTATTTAATTTATGCAGTCAGTAAAATATCACATTTTGAATTTTCCATGTATTTGTTACATTTTTTCGGGCATCTATCAATGGTGAATAAATCTTCTTCTTTTTTGTTACTAAACAAAGAAGAATTTTTTAAACAAAATTTTATTTTTGACAATATGTCAAAAATAAAAATTTTTAAGTTAGTATTTATGACATTTAGGCTGGTTGTAGCTATTCTATTTTTGTTTATAAATTCAATTTTTTTTTCTTAAGAAACTTCATCTAAATTTTTCAGAGAAACATTTATTAGAATAAGACATTTTTTTATTAATATTTTTTGTATTTATTATGTAAGCAGTAGTTTTATATAAAAAACTAATTTTATTTGGTGAGTTAACAAAAAAATTTTTTATTTCTAGTTCAACTTTGTAAGACATTTTGTATTTTTTAGAAGCTCTTGATAAAAATTGTAATCACAATTGAAAGCTCGAGTAAAAAATAGTCAACAAATAGCCCCTTTTATTGACTTCAACCCATCAAAAACAGTGTTATATTTTTTCCAAACGAGTCACAAGTACTTCTTTTTTCTTACTCTTATATATATATATATATATATATATATATATATATATATATATAAATATATATATATATCCTATTGGCTACTATATTTGGTATAGTAACTTCATTGACAGCAGCCCTAAGTGATGATAAAATCAATTGTTCCTAGTATTGTCTTAGATTCTTTAGCCATAATGTTTTTCATCTACCAGGACCATTTTACTTCTACCAGGATTAGTTTACCTCGAAAATTTCGCGAAATGATCAAATGTAAAAGTTTATGTCTTTCAGGGTTTCTCCACCATTTTGCAGATTTTCAGTCTATATCATATGTGCTTAGGTTTTAATCGATGATATCTACATTTTCGATAAAATTATTATAAAAATAATTGCTTTTTATAAGTGAACCGAGATTTTTCTCCAATTCTCAGCCTTTTGATTGATAATTTCAAAAGTTCTACTGTGATAATTGGATATCCTTATCACTTCTGTAGTATCTTTCCATGTAGTCGCTTAAATTTTTATGGATAAAACTAAAACCTCCATATTATCCCCTAACATTTTGATCTTTTTAAATTTGGCTGCGTTTACCCCATTGGCCATATAGGTTTCTAAACATGAAAAATTTAGAGTGTTTAGTAGGTTGTTTGAAGTGAAAAATCTATCAAAGCATAGACACACATATTCTGTTCACCATGTGGGGTTGGCTAAAATTTCAACAACTTGTTCTCCTAGAGTTCCAGTAGTTGGTGTTGATTCTTTTCCCGAATAAATATTAAAATCGTATCCACATCTTCGGGCAGATCTTCCTTTGAACTTAGTCATTGATTCGTGATGATGGGAACTCTCAGTCCTCTTCTTTACAAAAGTGTGTTTCAAACAAGAAACTACTTCATCGATGTAGGATGTTTTGGATTTGTTACCATTTCTTTTAGAATTATTATAGTAGGACTTGAATAACAAGAATAAACAGCAATCTCTTGAAATAGCCCTTTTTATGAGCGAATTCGAAAGTGATTCGTTTTGTGACCAGTAGTGTGAGGTATTATGGTATTTTGTGGTAACACATAACCATAATACAACCAATCACTATCATCATTTCGTACATATC